AAGTTGATGCTGAGAATTGGCTGATTTCAGGCTGGACTGGAGCTGGGTTAGCCAGAGCTATGGGGAGGTAAAGTCCAGGGGATTGTTTTTTAATGCCTATGACCTGGATGACGGAGAATCTTCACCAGCATGTGGAGAGAAGCTCCTGCTTTGGGTCTTTATTGGCTCTATTCTTAGGAAAAATGGGATTTATTTTCACTGCTATGCAGATGACTCACAGATTTATCTTCAGTCTCAGCTTTTATGCTTGGAAGACTTGAAAGCCTGGATGTCCCTAAATGTATGAAAACTCAGTGAAGAAAAAGGCAGAGTTGGTTAGAGCAGCTAGCAAAGGTTAACCCTATCCTGCCACGTCAGCATTTAGAAACTCCATGCCTTTATAAGCACTGGGCTGGATGACTGTACTGCACTTCATGATTCTGCACTCTGGATTCTGAGGAGTTTAGTCTTTGTTCACTTTACAATAAAAAAAAAGTTTTGAAAAGTTCAGTATTCATTCTTCTTTTGAGTTTAACTAGTTTTAGTTAAGAGTTTTAAACTGAAATATGTTTGACTTGGAGCTGAATGATTTTTGTTAATAAACTCAATACGATATTTACCGTTCCTACCGGGGAGGGCAATAAACATCTTAAAGTATCAGAAATATAAACTCCCAGCTATCTGGGAATTGAAAAGAACATAAAATCACAACAAAGGGAAAACATCCATCAATCAATTCACATTTTTTAATTCTAGGGAGGCATGATATATTGCTGTTGACATTGTAATCGGCTGTTATTAATCCTTTTTTTTTACCGTATGTATTAATGTCTAACTACCTATAAATATAAATATTAGTGCATTTTGGTTCTCTTTTGTTCTCAACAATAGAAAAGAATTAAATAAATAGATGTTTGAGCTCATTTTTGGAAAATAAAAACCCTATTGAAAGCGTTTGTGTCAAGTAACTGTAGGTCCATCATCCCACCTTTAGATGGACAGGATCACCTTTTACAGTTGCCTTTTGTATCTATGCTTCTTTTTCTATGTCTGCTTCTGTCTCCTTGAACCCCAGTGGGCCTCAGCAGATGGCCGCTCACACTGAGCCTGGTTCTGCTGGAGGTTTCCTCCTGTTCAAAGTGAGTTTTTCCTCTCCACTGTCGCTACAAGCATGCTTAGTGTGAGGGATTGCTGAAGAGTCAATGAGTCGATGCAATCAGCTGGTTTTCCTCAGATAGAAAACTTTGAATCAATCTGACTGGATGATCTGGTGAACTGGAAAGTGACCTGAGATGACATGATGTGAATTGGAGCTATAGAAATAAACTGAATAGAATAGAACAGAGCGCCCCCACCAACTTTCAAACAAATCAATCAATCAATCCATCAATAAACCAATAAATCAATCAATATAAATCAATTAATAAACCAACCAATCAATCAATAAATCGATCAATAAATCAATCAACCAATCAGAGTTCTCATCAGTCAAGAAAAGAAGGAATTCCCGGATCTTCTCCAGTAGAACCAGTCACATGGTTCTGTTTTTATGGATCCTTGGTTCCATCTTTAAATCATAATTTAAGTTCATTTTTATAATACACATTTCCACATTATTCTCGGTTCATTCGAGCTGTTTAAGCGCCCCCTAGTGGCAAAATTCTTTGCATAGTTTCTCAGTTTATACTAAGAGATTCATCAAGTCTGTGATGTCACTGCGGCACCACACCGGAAATGTTTGTTTCTTTTAACAAAATAAAAGTTTGCCAGCATCGCGTCGCTGAATAATCTTTATCCACAGGCCTCTAAATCATGTCACAGTCTCTGCATCAAACTGACCATATCAATGTTTGTTTTTTTCTCCCACAATCTTTACATTTGATCACTGCTGCACTTTATGGAATTGAAATGTTCTGAAAGCTGCACAACATTAAATTTCAAGGCCTGTATGATGATATGATGATCAACTGTTCTCTGTTTGCTAAGATATGAAAATAAAGTGCTGACTAACTGAAATCCATCGATCTCCGTTTATTTAACTAGGATGAATAGTTCAATACTGTTTTCCTTTTTTGTTGATCCTAAATAACATGCCGCTGTCATTTTGCACATCTTAACTGTTGCTGGTAAGTCTATAACCACTTACTGGAAAAAATGTCCACAGATGTTTTTTTTTTTTTTTTTTTGGTTATTTATCCTTTTTTTAGTTACTGCAAAGTATTTATATTCAAACTTCTTGTCGCTCTTAATGTACGTTTTTTTTTCACTTTATTCTGTAATTTTTATGGCTTTTAAATGTTTATATCTATGTGACTCTTTTATAATTATTGTCCAAAACTGGAAAAATAAAGTAATTTTCTACTCCTACTCTATATACAAAAGGATAATTATTGCTGCCGACGATATTGAAACGAATTGAAAGAATAAAATATAAAAATTACTCTCTACTCCTAATACTTTATTCGCAGCGTCGCTGTGTGTTTTATTTTGAAATCAGACCGGAAGTCGCTTTGTGTATATAGAGTGCGTGTTTCTTCGCTCCGGTCAGTTCGGGTCTCGGTTCTGTGGGTCCAGAGCTTCCTACGGCTTGGTTCTCCGCCGCGTCATGAAGGAACCGGTCCGAACTGGATCAAAACTTTGTGTCGGTGAGTTGGTTTCATGTCGGACCGCTAACCCGCAGTTAACGGACCGCAACGGGAAGAAAAAAAGGCGCAAAGTTTATTCTCAGAAACTTTCTGCACTGTTTTCTCGCCGCGAGCCTTTTGTTCTGCGGCTCGCGCCTCCGTTCCCATGGTGAAGCTTCTCCGGCCCGCGAGGGTCTCCGAGCGGAGCCGAAGGCTGTCCGGAAACAGCCGAGCGTCCGAGGCGCTTAAACACCGAAGCTGGTTCGGTTCTGTTCGGAGTCTAGAACCGGTAGTTCGGTTCTGGTCGGTGCTCTTTGATCCTTGCTTGCTTTAAATCTGATCATAAATAAAATGAGTTTATTTGTTGGTCTGCAGACAGAACCGATCCTGAGGACCAGAACCGGATCATCTCGGTACCAGGAACGGTTTTACCAGAACCGAACCTGACCCAGTTGTAATGCAGACTGAACTGGACTCAGTGTAAATGGTTCTGGGTGTGACTCTGGTGTCAGACAGGATCTGATTGGGTCCCGTCCTCGTTAGGAACTGGTTCTGTGTAAATAAACCAAACAGGTTCATCTGGATCTTCTCTGGTCAGTTCTGGTCCACCAGCTGGAGACCAGAACCCAGTGGAACCGTGACCCAGTGAGACCTTCAGGCAGCGGATCTGATGGTACCAGCTGCTGGTTTTACTGTCCTACCGCTGTCTGTGGTCCTGATGGGACCTGATTGGAGGGGATCAGGCAGGCCAAAACCGGGACCTGGAGGACTAACCCAGACCAGACCTGGAGGACTAACCCAGACCAGACCTGGAAGACTAACCCAGACCAGACCTGGAGGACTAACCCAGATCAGACCTGGAGGACTAACCCAGACCAGACCTGGAAGACTAACCCAGACCAGACCTGGAGGACTAACCCAGACCAGACCTGGAAGACTAACCCAGACCAGACCTGGAAGACTAACCCAGACCAGACCTGGAAGACTAACCCAGACCAGACCTGGAAGACTAACCCAGACCAGACCTGGAGGACTAACCCAGACCAGACCTGGAAGACTAACCCAGACCAGACCTGGAGGACTGACCCAGACCAGACCTGGAAGACTAACCCAGACCAGACCTGGAAGACTAACCCAGACCAGACCTGGAAGACTAACCCAGACCAGACCTGGAGGACTAACCCAGATCAGACCTGGAGGACTGACCCAGATCAGACCTGGAGGACTGACCCGGACCTGGAGGACTAACCCAGATCAGACCTGGAGGACTGACCCAGACCCGGACCTGGAGGACTAACCCAGATCAGACCTGGAAGACTGACCCAGACCCGGACCTGGAGGACTGACCCAGACCAGACCTGGAGGACTGACCCAGACCAGACCTGGAGGACTGACCCAGACCGGGACCTGGAAGACTAACCCAGACCAGACATGGAGGACTAACCCAGACCGGGACCTGGAGGACTAACCCAGACCAGACCTGGAAGACTAACCCAGACCGGGACCTGGAGGACTAACCCAGACCAGACCTGGAAGACTAACCCAGACCGGGACCTGGAGGACTAACCCAGACCAGACCTGGAGGACTGACCCAGACCGGGACCTGGAAGACTAACCCAGACCAGACCTGGAGGACTGACCCAGACCGGGACCTGGAAGACTAACCCAGACCGGGACCTGGAGGACTGACCCAGACCCGGACCTGGAAGACTGACCGGGACCTGGAGGACTAACCCAGACCAGACCTGGAGGACTAACCCAGACCCGGACCCTAGAGGACTGACCCAGACCAAACCTAGAGGACTGACCCAGACCAGGACCTGGAAGACTAAACCCAGACCAGACCTGGAAGACTAACCCAGACCAGACCTGGAGGACTAACCCAGACCCGGACCTAGAGGACTGACCCAGACCGGGACCTGGAAGACTAACCCAGACCAGACCTGGAGAACTGACCCAGACCCGGAGCTGGAAGACTGACCGGGACCTGGAGGACTAACCCAGACCGGGACCTGGAGGACTAACCCAGACCGGGACCTGGAGGACTGACCCAGACCCGGACCTGGAAGACTGACCGGGACCTGGAGGACTAACCCAGAGCGGGACCTGGAGGACTGACCCAGACCGGGACCTGGAAGACTAACCCAGACCGGGACCTGGAGGACTAACCCAGAGCGGGACCTGGAGGACTAACCCAGACCAGACCTGGAGGACTGACCCAGACCCGGACCTGGAGGACTAACCCAGATCAGACCTGGAGGACTGACCCAGACCGGGACCTGGAGGACTGACCCAGACCTGGTTTTGTAGAGAAGGATTTATTTCCTAAACCAGCTGACCTGGTTCTCAGCTCAGTAACAGAACCAACCAGCAGCTTCATAAACTCTTTATCACTTTAACTTGATTCCTTTCATCTTTGCAGCTGCAGCCGATTAAAACGAGCCGTCATCAGGAGGTGAAAATCTGGCCCATCTGTTGCCTGGTTGACGTAAAGCAGGTTCGATCAATCGGAGCGGCCGTTTTGGTTCAGCTTTCTTCATTTCCACCTGTCAGAGGTAAATCTCGCTGATGGCTGCACAGTTTGTCTTTTTAGTCCAGGTTAGATTCCTGCTGATTGAAATGGGATTAAATCTGAATTAAAAGCATTTTGGGACTAAAACTATGACCTCCAGGATAAAACAGGATGAAGTCTTTGATTCTTCTGATAAAATCTAACCTGATTTTACTGAGATTTGTTCTAAAGCTGTTTAAATATCAGATCTATTGAGACGTCTCCTGAAATAATCTGAGTAATGGCTTCGTCCTGGTTTTACGGATGCTAACGTGCTAGCTAGGGTTGTAGAACCAGTCTGGGTCAGCTCCTGGGTGCTGACGGTTCTGATGGACCTGCTCCGTCTCCATCAGGTGTGAGGTCAGGGCGGGATGCGTCCCGATGGACGAGGCGGAGCACAGTCGCTATGTGGCCCAGCTGAGAGCCGAGTTCGACCGCTGCGACACCACGGCGACGGGCTTCCTGGACCGGGACGAGCTGACGGAGCTGTTCAGGAGGCTGCAGCTGGACGCACACCTGGAGCTGCTGCTGGACGCACTGCTGGGAGAGCATCCCTACGGCAGGGTAACCGCCACCGAGGGACCGCCTCCATGTGACCAGAACCGGCCCGGTTCTGATTGGTCCGTGTGTCTCTGTCCAACAGGTGAACTTTGAGGAGTTTAAGGACGGCTTTGTGGACGTTCTTTCCCGCTCCCTGGACATCAGCACCTCTGAGGAGGACAGCAGCTACCTGGAGCCAGGTGAGGCGCCGCAGGGCCCGCTCAGGTTCTGGTTCTGTTGGGCCTGGTTCCTATTGTTCTATGTCCTCCAGCGCTCCCCCAGGAGGTGCAGCCTAAGCTGGTCAAAGGAACCAAACGCTACGGCCGGCGCTCGCACCCAGAACCCCGGCCCGGTTCTGGTCTCACCGCCAACTCCGGGGAGTCCACCCCATCCGGAAGCAACGCCGCAGACTCTTCTCCACCCGCCGTCCGCAGAGCCAAGCTCAGGAGGTCCACTTCTCTGGAGAGCCTGGAGGTGAGTCAGAACCACCAGCAGGTCCACCAGTAACAGAACCAGAACCACTGGGAGGAGCACAGAGACTGGGAGGAATAGAGAGACTAGGGGAGACTGGGATAGAGAGACTGGGAGAGACTGGGAGGAACACAGAGACTGGGAGAGACTAGGGGAGACTGGGATAGAGAGACTGGGAGAGACTAGGGGAGACTGGGATAGAGAGACTGGGAGAGACTAGGGGAGACTGGGAGAGACTGGGAGGAACACAGAGACTGGGAGAGACTAGGGGAGACTGGGATAGAGAGACTGGGAGAGACTAGGGGAGACTGGGAGAGACTGGGAGGAACACAGAGACTGGGAGAGACTAGGGGAGACTGGGATAGAGAGACTAGGGGAGACTGGGATAGAGAGACTGGGAGAGACTGGGAGGAGCACAGAGACTGGGAGGAATAGAGAGACTAGGGGAGACTGGGATAGAGAGACTAGGGGAGACTGGGATAGAGAGACTGGGAGAGACTGGGAGGAGCACAGAGACTGGGAGGAATAGAGAGACTAGGGGAGACTGGGATAGAGAGACTAGGGGAGACTGGGATAGAGAGACTAGGGGAGACTGGGATAGAGAGACTGGGAGAGACTAGGGGAGACTGGGAGAGACTGGGAGGAACACAGAGACTGGGAGAGACTAGGGGAGACTGGGATAGAGAGACTGGGAGAGACTAGGGGAGACTGGGATAGAGAGACTGGGAGAGACTAGGGGAGACTGGGAGAGACTGGGAGGAACACAGAGACTGGGAAAGACTAGGGGAGACTGGGATAGAGAGACTGGGAGAGACTAGGGGAGACTGGGAGAGACTGGGAGGAACACAGAGACTGGGAGAGACTAGGGGAGACTGGGATAGAGAGACTGGGAGAGACTAGGGGAGACTGGGAGAGACTGGGAGGAACACAGAGACTGGGAGAGACTAGGGGAGACTGGGATAGAGAGACTGGGAGAGACTGGGAGGAACACAGAGACTGGGAGAGACTAGGGGAGACTGGGATAGAGAGACTGGGAGAGACTAGGGGAGACTGGGATAGAGAGACTGGGAGAGACTAGGGGAGACTGGGATAGAGAGACTGGGAGAGACTAGGGGAGACTGGGATAGAGAGACTGGGAGAGACTGGGAGGAGCACAGAGACTGGGAGGAATAGAGAGACTAGGGGAGACTGGGATAGAGAGACTGGGAGAGACTGGGAGGAACACAGAGACTTGGAGAGACTAGGGGAGACTGGGATAGAGAGACTGGGAGAGACTAGGGGAGACTGGGATAGAGAGACTGGGAGAGACTAGGGGAGACTGGGAGAGACTGGGAGGAACACAGAGACTGGGAGAGACTAGGGGAGACTGGGATAGAGAGACTGGGAGAGACTGGGAGGAACACAGAGACTGGTAGAGACTAGGGGAGACTGGGATAGAGAGACTGGGAGAGACTAGGGGAGACTGGGATAGAGAGACTGGGAGAGACTAGGGGAGACTGGGAGAGACTGGGAGGAACACAGAGACTGGGAGAGACTAGGGGAGACTGGGATAGAGAGACTAGGGGAGACTGGGATAGAGAGACTGGGAGAGACTGGGAGGAGCACAGAGACTGGGAGGAATAGAGAGACTAGGGGAGACTGGGATAGAGAGACTGGGAGAGACTGGGAGGAACACAGAGACTGGGAGAGACTAGGGGAGACTGGGATAGAGAGACTGGGAGAGACTGGGAGGAACACAGAGACTGGGAGAGACTAGGGGAGACTGGGATAGAGAGACTAGGGGAGACTGGGATAGAGAGACTGGGAGAGACTAGGGGAGACTGGGAGAGACTGGGAGGAACACAGAGACTGGGAGAGACTAGGGGAGGCTGGGATAGAGAGACTGGGAGAGACTAGGGGAGACTGGGATAGAGAGACTGGGAGAGACTAGGGGATACTGGGAGAGACTGGGAGGAACACAGAGACTGGGAGAGAGTAGGGGAGACTGGGATAGAGAGACTGGGAGAGACTAGGGGAGACTGGGAGAGACTGGGAGGAACACAGAGACTGGGAGAGACTAGGGGAGACTGGGATAGAGAGACTGGGAGAGACTAGGGGAGACTGGGAGAGACTAGGGGAGACTGGGAGAGACTGGGAGGAACACAGAGACTGGGAGAGACTAGGGGAGACTGGGATAGAGAGACTGGGAGAGACTAGGGGAGACTGGGAGAGACTAGGGGAGACTGGGATAGAGAGACTGGGATAGAGAGACTGGGAGAGACTAGGGGAGACTGGGTGGGAGAGAGAAACTGGGAGAGAAAGACGTGGAGAGACTAGGTGGGAGAGACTGGAGGTGAGTCAGAACCAACAGCAGGTCCATCAGTAACAGAACCACAGGGAGGATCACAGAGACTGGGAGAGACTAGGGGAGACTGGGATAGAGAGACTGGGAGAGACTAGGGGAGACTGGGATAGAGAGACTGGGAGAGACTAGGGGAGACTGGGAGAGACTGGGAGGAACACAGAGACTGGGAGAGACTAGGGGAGACTGGGATAGAGAGACTAGGGGAGACTGGGATAGAGAGACTGGGAGAGACTGGGAGGAGCACAGAGACTGGGAGGAATAGAGAGACTAGGGGAGACTGGGATAGAGAGACTGGGAGAGACTGGGAGGAACACAGAGACTGGGAGAGACTAGGGGAGACTGGGATAGAGAGACTGGGAGAGACTGGGAGGAACACAGAGACTGGGAGAGACTAGGGGAGACTGGGATAGAGAGACTAGGGGAGACTGGGATAGAGAGACTGGGAGAGACTAGGGGAGACTGGGAGAGACTGGGAGGAACACAGAGACTGGGAGAGACTAGGGGAGACTGGGATAGAGAGACTGGGAGAGACTAGGGGATACTGGGAGAGACTGGGAGGAACACAGAGACTGGGAGAGAGTAGGGGAGACTGGGATAGAGAGACTGGGAGAGACTAGGGGAGACTGGGAGAGACTGGGAGGAACACAGAGACTGGGAGAGACTAGGGGAGACTGGGATAGAGAGACTGGGAGAGACTAGGGGAGACTGGGAGAGACTAGGGGAGACTGGGAGAGACTGGGAGGAACACAGAGACTGGGAGAGACTAGGGGAGACTGGGATAGAGAGACTGGGAGAGACTAGGGGAGACTAGGGGAGACTGGGATAGAGAGACTGGGAGAGACTAGGGGAGACTGGGTGGGAGAGAGAAACTGGGAGAGAAAGACGTGGAGAGACTAGGTGGGAGAGACTGGAGGTGAGTCAGAACCACCAGCAGGTCCATCAGTAACAGAACCACAGGGAGGATCACAGAGACTGGGAGAGACTAGGGGAGACTGGGATAGAGAGACTGGGAGAGACTAGGGGAGACTGGGATAGAGAGACTGGGAGAGACTAGGGGAGACTGGGATAGAGAGACTAGGGGAGACTGGGATAGAGAGACTGGGAGAGACTGGGAGGAGCACAGAGACTGGGAGGAATAGAGAGACTAGGGGAGACTGGGATAGAGAGACTGGGAGAGACTGGGAGGAACACAGAGACTGGGAGAGACTAGGGGAGACTGGGATAGAGAGACTGGGAGAGACTGGGAGGAACACAGAGACTGGAAGAGACTAGGGGAGACTGGGATAGAGAGACTAGGGGAGACTGGGATAGAGAGACTGGGAGAGACTAGGGGAGACTGGGAGAGACTGGGAGGAACACAGAGACTGGGAGAGACTAGGGGAGACTGGGATAGAGAGACTGGGAGAGACTAGGGGAGACTGGGATAGAGAGACTGGGAGAGACTAGGGGATACTGGGAGAGACTGGGAGGAACACAGAGACTGGGAGAGAGTAGGGGAGACTGGGATAGAGAGACTGGGAGAGACTAGGGGAGACTGGGAGAGACTGGGAGGAACACAGAGACTGGGAGAGACTAGGGGAGACTGGGATAGAGAGACTGGGAGAGACTAGGGGAGACTGGGAGAGACTAGGGGAGACTGGGAGAGACTGGGAGGAACACAGAGACTGGGAGAGACTAGGGGAGACTGGGATAGAGAGACTGGGAGAGACTAGGGGAGACTGGGAGAGACTAGGGGAGACTGGGATAGAGAGACTGGGATAGAGAGACTGGGAGAGACTAGGGGAGACTGGGTGGGAGAGAGAAACTGGGAGAGAAAGACGTGGAGAGACTAGGTGGGAGAGACTGGAGGTGAGTCAGAACCACCAGCAGGTCCATCAGTAACAGAACCACAGGGAGGATCACAGAGACTGGGAGAGACTAGGGGAGACTGGGATAGAGAGACTAGGGGAGACTGGGATAGAGAGACTGGGAGGAGCACAGAGACTGGGAGGAATAGAGAGACTAGGGGAGACTGGGATAGAGAGACTAGGGGAGACTGGGATAGAGAGACTGGGAGAGACTGGGAGGAACACAGAGACTGGGAGAGACTAGGGGAGACTGGGATAGAGAGACTTGGAGAGACTGGGAGGAACACAGAGACTGGGAGAGACTAGGGGAGACTGGGATAGAGAGACTAGGGGAGACTGGGATAGAGAGACTGGGAGAGACTAGGGGAGACTGGGAGAGACTGGGAGGAACACAGAGACTGGGAGAGACTAGGGGAGACTGGGAGAGACTGGGAGGAACACAGAGACTGGGAGAGACTAGGGGAGACTGGGATAGAGAGACTGGGAGAGACTAGGGGAGACTGGGATAGAGAGACTGGGAGAGACTAGGGGAGACTGGGAGAGACTGGGAGGAACACAGAGACTGGGAGAGACTAGGGGAGACTGGGATAGAGAGACTGGGAGAGACTAGGGGAGACTGGGAGAGACTGGGAGGAACACAGAGACTGGGAGAGACTAGGGGAGACTGGGATAGAGAGACTGGGAGAGACTAGGGGAGACTGGGAGAGACTAGGGGAGACTGGGAGAGACTGGGAGGAACACAGAGACTGGGAGAGACTAGGGGAGACTGGGATAGAGAGACTGGGAGAGACTAGGGGAGACTGGGAGAGACTAGGGGAGACTGGGATAGAGAGACTGGGATAGAGAGACTGGGAGAGACTAGGGGAGACTGGGGTGGAGAGACTGGGTGGGAGAGAGAAACTGGGAGAGAAAGACGGGGAGAGACTAGGTGGGAGAGACTGGAGGTGAGTCAGAACCACCAGCAGGTCCATCAGTAACAGAACCACAGGGAGGATCACAGAGACTGGGAGGGACTGGGTGAGAGAGACCAGGGGAGACTGGGAGAGACTAGGGGAGACTGCGATGGAGAGACTGGGAGGTAGAGACTGGGATAGAGAGACTTGGGTGGAGGGACTGGGCGAGGGTTCAGCTAAATACCTGAGGGGAGGAGGGCGGTTCTGAGGTTTTCTCAGGAAGTGGGATTGTGAGGAATGTGGCTGCTGGAAGAGGAAGACGTTTTTGTTTAGTGACTGTCAGCTTCTCTTCCTCGTCCTCCTCTCAGGTAGGTTCCCACAGCAGCGGGTTTGGGGTGGGGTTAGTAAGTGTCCATCCCAGCAGAACTAAAGCGGCTCAGGACCCCCCCAGCCCCCCCCGATTCAGTCTCTAAGCTCCATGTTTTCTCTGCAGAGCCTGAAGTCTGATGAAGAGGCAGGAAGTTCCAGGATCGACCAGAAACCCTTTCAGAATAAAGGTACAGGCAAACGTTCTGATCCTGATCCAGTCAGGAAGGTTCCTGGGACCTGGGGTCCGTTTCACCAAACCGGTTTAACAAATTTAGACTCTAATCCTCAACTCTAAATTAATCCAGCCTAAAGTCAGGAATGTTGTTCAGTTTCACAGCGGCTGCTATCAATTAGTTCAATCAACTCAGAGTAAGTATGTAAAGCCATGATCACTGGAGCACCGATTCAACCTGTCACCATGGCAACATGCAACAGGAAGTGTCTATTTCACCCCACCGGAACTAGAGATTTAATGCAGAAATGCAAAAAAGAATAAAATAAAAAAGGAGAATGTGTTTAAAAGACAGAAACGGCGCTACAGCTGCTGAGGAGGAGAAGATGGGAAAGACTGTTGCTCAAGTTAATGTGTAGGTTTATAAGAAGTGGGCTATGGCAGGCCGTTTTACATTTATTTAAAGCACTCTCCTCTCTGTTGTTCCTTTTATAGATCACTAAAATAAGATTCTTCCTGATCAAAATCACACTCCTAGACTGAACTGTAACATTAGATTTTCTAAATTACATTTTTGTACCAAAACTGAATTTCAGAAAGGAAAAAAATAAATTATACTTGTTAGAATTAGGTTTTATATATCTAGAAATGTTTCCACATTTTAATTGACCATTCAGACCATTCATTAACTTGACTGAAAATATGTTTATGATATCTGAAAAACATTTATTAATAGTTAAAATAATAAAAATGCTGACCAGTAATATTAGGAATATGGAGATCTGAAGCTATTTTCTATACATCCAGAAAGTTTATTCTACATGTGGAGAATGTCATTTTGTTTGAAAGAAAAACAGTTTTTTTCAGATATCAGGAATACATATTTAGTAAAACTAGTACGTATCAAAACGGCTTGCCATAGCTTTATTAAGGTGAAAATATTATGGGTTTATTTCTTGAATGGTCGTAGATCAGTGGATCTATTTAGGTGAAATCATCTGTCAGCAGGTGAAGATGAAGAATAAAGACGTTATTCTAATAAATAGAACCTGTTCATCATCTCATGGGTTCCTCCTCATGTTGATTCAGTCTCTTTTACTCAGTAAATCAGTGGCTGTTTGCTGCAGCGTTTCCGATGTTATCGTCCCAATAAATGGTCGTTATTAGCGGCTATCAGTCCCATAGAATGGCTTCAGATTGGGCCAGTAGGCTCAGTAGGTTGGTAACATCCAGTAAATCCCCCCCATGTGGAATTAAAGAATCTATTTATGTGTAATCTGAAAATAATCTCAGTAGTTCTTCATGTTCTGTAAATATAGCTAAATAAAAATAAAATAATCTGCATCTCGCTCATATTAAACAAACCAAAATCCAGTAATCTCCTCTCCTGTCACTGAGTTGTAGAATCCTCTCCCTATAAATATTTAATTCTCTGTGAATTAATGCCGATCATCCTTTAATAAGATCCTCATCAAACTGACATGCAGTGTTTTTTTTTTTTGTGTCTCACAAAACTACAACATATAACTGATTAAATGAGGAAATAAAACGGTGATTGGCTGGAAGGAGACTAAGTTTACTGAAGGAAACCTGCTGCTGACCAGGTTACCTCTGGGAGGATGTTACTATGGCAACAGAACCAGGTTGAGGGAGCTCTCTATGTGAAACAGAAAAGTTTTCGGTAAACCTGCTTTGTGAAGCGGAGCCCTGCAGCCATGTAACCATGGCAACGGCAGTCAGCAGCATGGGTCCATTTCTGTGATGTTTTCTCTGCAGCAGATCAGCAGGAGGAAGGAGGAGCAGGTCCAGGTGTTCAGACCGCCGTGTGTGATCCACTGACTCTGCAGGTAAACCGGGTTCAGAACCGATTCTGGAGCTGGTGTCAGACGGTTCTGATGGTCCCACTCTGTCTGCAGGATGTGGACGTTCTGCTCAGGAGGCTGGATGGCCACCTGGACAGCCAGGCCGGGGTCCAAAGGTTCCGTCAGGGTCTGTGGAGCTCCGCCCCCACGTTAAGCTCCACCCCTCTGAGATCAGCTAAGGTAAAACACCTTCTATTGCAGCCGCCTCATTGGTCAGAGGAAACACCGCCTCCTGATCTCTGAGCCAATAGCAGCAGGCCTTTAATCTGTCAGTCAGAACAGGACAGCTGATCCTGATCCATCAGAACCAGAACCAGTACAGGTTCTGTCTGAGTCCCATCTTTTACAGCTGCACCAACATTAGAACCCTGCCTTGGTTCTGGTTCTAATCAGACCTTGGTTCTAGTTCTGATCGGACCCTAGTTCTGCTTCTACTTGGACCTTGGTACTAGTTTTAATCGGACCTTGGTTCTGGTTTAATGGGACCTTGGTACTGGTTTTAATCGGACCTTGGTTCTGGTTTAATGGGACCATGGTTCTGGTTCTAATCGGAAATTGGTTCTGGTTTAAACGGACTTTGGTTCTGGTTTAATGGGACCTTGGTACTGGTTTTAATCGGACCTTGGTTCTGGTTTAATTGGACCATGGTTGTGGTTCTAATCGGACCTTGGTTCTGGTTTAATGGGACCATGGTTCTTGTTCTAATCGGAAATTGGTTCTGGTTTAAACGGACTTTGGTTCTGGTTTAATGGGACCATAGTTCTGGTTTAATCAGACCATGGTTCTGGTTCTATTCGGACCTTGGTTCTGGTTTAATGGGACCATAGTTCTGGTTTAATCAGACCATGGTTCTGGTTCTAATCGGACCTTGGTTCTGGTTTAAAAGATCCTGGTTCTGGTTTAATCTGACCTTGGTTCTGGTTCTAATCGGACCTTGGTTCTGGTTTAAACTGACCCTGGTTCTGGTTCTAATCGGAAATTGGTTCTGGTTTAAACGGACTTTGGTTCTGGTTTAATGGGACCTTGGTACTGGTTTTAATCGGACCTTGGTTCTGGTTTAATGGGACCATGGTTGTGGTTCTAATCGGACCTTGGTTCTGGTTTAATGGGACCATGGTTCTGGTTCTAATCGGAAATTGGTTCTGGTTTAAACGGACTTTGGTTCTGGTTTAATGGGACCATAGTTCTGGTTTAATCAGACCATGGTTCTGGTTTAATGGGACCTTGGTACTGGTTTTAATCGGACCTTGGTTCTGGTTTAATGGGACCATGGTTGTGGTTCTAATCGGACCTTGGTTCTGGTTTAATGGGACCATGGTTCTGGTTCTAATCGGAAATTGGTTCTGGTTTAAACGGACTTTGGTTCTGGTTTAATGGGACCATAGTTCTGGTTTAATCAGACCATGGTTCTGGTTCTAATCGGACCTTGGTTCTGGTTTAAAAGATCCTGGTTCTGGTTTAATCTGACCTTGGTTCTGGTTCTAATCGGACCTTGGTTCTGGTTTAAACTGACCCTGGTTCTGGTTCTAATCGGACCTTGGTTCTGTTTGGGTTTGGGTTTCTCTGTTTATCAGTTTTTCCTTTTATCTCTTTGAAGCTAATTGTAACAATAAAGGTTTGTTCTCTCTGCTTTCATCACTTCCTGTTTCCTTTTATGGAAGAAGATATGAAACCGGATCAGAATCACAAACTGAGGAGAAAATAACCACATCAAATAAAATTGAATCAACCAATAAATGATCAGAGCATCGTTGATTAGAGGAACCTGACCAATCAGAGCTGCTCAGTCTGATCAGCTGGGCGGGGCCTGCCCAGGTGGCCCAGGTGCAGCTGGTGAACAGGTATCAGCAGGCAGGTGGAGGCTGCTGGTTCTGAAGTCCAGCTATGATGTCTAGCTACGTTCTGTCTGCCTGGTTCAGGACGGACCCGATGACCTCCACGCTGACCTCCTGTCAGAACCAGGTGATCCAACTGGACCCGGTTCTATTGTTCAGGCAGCCACCAGAACCACAGACGGCTCTGCAGCGCTTAAGGAACCAGCAGACATCCATGGTTACCAGAACCCTGAGAGTCCAGAAATGTCTTCCTCTGTGGTTCTGTTAGCGAATGGACCATCTGTCTCAGAACTTCATTCGGATCATTGAGCCCATCAGGTGGTTCTGGTAGAACCGGGTTAATCCAGCGTGAATTCTCCTAATCCCTGAGCGAAACGCATTCTTTCCAGGGTTTAACCGGATCACATTCCTCTGTGCAGAACCAGCAGCTGGTACCGGAGGAGGGCCCGGCCCGCTCGGCGTCCCCCTCCCTGCTGACGGCCACCGTGGGTCCGAGAGTTCTGAGCCGACTGGACGACGGGTCGGGGAGTACCAGCCCAGAGCGGGTGGCGGCCCTGTGGACGGAGGAGGGGATCCGGAACAGCTGGGAGATTCTGCAGGTGGGTTCAGAACCGGGACTTCCCCTCTCTGGGTCAGCGTGTTCCAGAACTCCTGCCAAACCGCCTCAGAACCACCGGGCCGAGCAGAACCTCAGAGCCCAGTTCCAGCCGCACAGCAGCGCCCCCTGCTGCTGGCCTGAGCAGGAAGCTGTTTGAATGAAATGGAAAATAAACAGGAAGTGATTCTGGAGCAGCAGCCTTAAAAAGATCGGGTCCAAAACAGATGAAGGGAAACGGATCCAATCTGAAAAATTAGACCATATTTAAGATTAACAAAAGAATTAAAACACCGACTTAAATTAGAGCCTTTCTGGTTCGTCTAACTCTTTAAAGTTTATCATATTGATGCAGGAGTTTCCTCTGAATCATCAGTGGTTATTTCTGTTTCTGAAAACCCTGAATAATGAAGTGAACAGAAAACAGATAAAAGATTATATCTAATATATCAAATTAATGCAAATTAATGGTCTAATTGAACTAAGACTAAATGTATGTTTTTAATTTATTTGTCAGAATGTTTGACGACTCTAATTCTAAAAAAGTAGATTTTTAATTTGGAAGGCAACTGGACTTTGACTCAGTTTATTTATTAGCACCAAAGGTTTTACCAGAAACGGAAGTAGATTCATCTAAAAACTGCTGAAAAATGGGATTAGATTCATAGAAACTGGATTTCAAAGTATTGGGAAATAAAGAATAACAATAATAATTGTGGTATAGACAGGATTATGATTCACATTTTTAAACCAACAGCCTGGAATAGAATTAGAGAAGGAGAAATGAAATTGGATGAAGTCATGATCATTCTTCACCAGTAGGTGGCAGTAATGCACAGCTTTCATTTCTGCTCATCTGCCAAACGAAGTCCAGAGAGAAGAGAAAACAATCTAAAGGTTAAAGATTTCAGAGATCCGCAAACAGCAGAACCAAACATAGATCTGTTCCAGCTAGAGCTCATCAGTAGCTGGACCTGCGGCTAGCAGCCTGGCTAATCGCTAACTCTGCATGCTGTTCGTTGGGGTTATGGGACCTGGAATAACCCGGATAGTTTCAGTCCATCCAGCAGGATCGACAGCAGGTTCTGATCGGGATAAACGGCCCGTTTCTGATCCGTAAACCTCCGCAGCATCAGCAGCCAGAGGAAGGTCTAACTGGTTCTGGTTCTGTCCCGTGTTGCAGACTCTGGACTTCTCCCTGGAGGACCGGCTCAATCTGGCCGACCTGACCCTGGCTCTGGACAACGAGCTGCTGGTCAGCGGCAACGGCATCCACCAGGCGGCGCTCATCTCCTACAGGAGCGAGATCCAGCACCTGCAGTACGTTTCAGAGCCGCCGCCCATCCGTCCGTTCCTACAGCTTCCCGTCTGACCCGCTCTGTCTTCCAGGGAGGTGGCGGAGCAGGCCTGCAGGGAGCGGGACAAGCTGAGGGCCGACCTGGAGCTGGCCGACCACAGGAACCTGCAGTTGGTCCGGGAGGTGGACGACCGCCACGCCAGCATGGAGACGCTCAACGAGAGCAGGATCAGGTAGGGCTGCGGTGGGGGCAGCATGATGCTGTGGGGCTGAGCTGAGGCGTGACGGGCGCTGTGACCCACAGGGACCTGGAGCAGGACTTCAGGGAGCGGCTGACGGCGCTGCGCTGCCAGGCGGAGCAGGAGAGCGAGGCGCTGCTGCAGCAGGGGGAGCAGGAGTGCAGCGCGCTGCAGGAGGAGCTGCAGCTGCTCAGAGCGCAGGAGGCCGAGCTGCAGGAGGAGCTGGGGAGCGCCGCTCAGGTGAGTTCTACTCCTGTTCTGGTCCAACGGAGCTCAGATGGGTTCTGGACTCAGCTTCTGCTGTGATGTCAGGAGAAGCAGCGGGTGGAGGAGGAGCTGGAGGCCACCAAGATGAAGCTGAGGGACGCTGAAGGTTCTGTGCAGAGACTGCAGAAGGAAGTGGACCAGCTGCTGAACCACAAGGTGATCCCGGGTTCTGGACTTCTGGGTCGGGTGGAACCTGATCCCGGTCGGCGTCCGCTTGGTGTTCGGTGTCTGATGAATGTTTGATGAGCCTCCGCTGTGACTCGCTCTTCTCTCAGCGCCATCAGAACCGTCTTCACTCACAGATCATCTCTGTGTTCTGACAGTTTGGCCGTTTGGACCCGTCCGGCGCTGCTCAGAGCCATGAGGAACGCTTCTCTGAGATCCTCAGAGACTATGAGCTGCAGTGCCGGGTGAGACCCGCCACCGGTTCTGCTCTGGTTCTGCTGGACTCTGTGTTGCCGGTAGCGTGACCCGATACTGGGGTCCGGCTGGTTAAACCTGTGTGTGTGTGTGTGTGTGTGTGTGTGTGGTGCGTTCAGGAGCTGCAGGACAGAAACGATGAGCTGAGCTCTGAGCTGGAGCTGCTGAGGAGCAGGAAGGGCATCCAGCCAGCAGGGGGCGCCGCCAGCAGCCTGAGCTGGAGCCAGCAGTACCAGGACTCTGGTTAGTATGATGTCAGTCTGGGTCAGAACCTGGAGGTTCTGGGGGGGGGACCAGAGGAGGCTTTTATTCTGGAGGGTCAGAGGGAAGCAGGCGGATCCAAAGAAGGTGCAGAAACGGGACCAGAACCCAGTCACTGGTTTAAACAGGAGAGCAGAACCGGTTCTGAGACAAACGTTGTTTAAACAGAGTTTACAGTTTCTATATATATGTAGTCTGTAGTCGCGCCGTATGTGTTCCCACATCCTCCTGGTGCTGCTGGCATCATGGAAGAGATCCTGGATCTTCCAGCTGTGGTTCTGCTTGGCCGAGAATCCCGCAGATACAGAACCACAGACATATGGACCCACCAGAAGGTCCTCACTCCTGCAGGGATTTGTTCTGGTTCTGGCTGAGGAGTAGTGATGCTGTGGGCTCCACAGTAAAAGCTCAGATCAAACAGCAAAGCCCAGAGTTCTGGTGGCTCAGTGGGTCTGAGGTTGGTTATGAGGGGGTGAAGCTCCTTAGATAAAGATTAAGAAATAACAAGCAGGCTGAAACCACCAGAACCGGTTCTACCGGGGCGCTGAGTCACAGGCTGCTGGGACTGGACTTTCAGGTCTGAGTAGGCCACGCCCCCAGACTGCTGCGTCAGCTCAGTGTGGCGCTGAGGCTTCGGATCATGGCCCTCAGTGAGTTCCTCCTGGTTCCTCCTTTATCCTCCTGGTTCCTCCTTTATCCTCCTGGTTCCTCCTTTATCCTCCTGGTTCCCCCTTTATCCTCCTGGTTCCCCCTTTATCCTCCTGGTTCCCCCTTTATCCTCCTGGTTCCCCCTTTATCCTCCTGGTTCCTCCTTTATCCTCCTGGTTCCCCCTTTATCCTCCTGGTTCCCCCTTTATCCTCCTGGTTCCCCCTTTATCCTCCTGGTTCCTCCTTTATCCCCTTGGTTCCTCCTTTATCCTCCTGGTTCCTCCTTTATCCTCCTGGTTCCTCCTTTATCCCCTTGGTTCCTCCTTTATCCTCCTGGTTCCTCCTTTATCCCCTTGGTTCCTCCTTTATCCTCCTGGTTCCTCCTTTATCCTCCTGGTTCCTCCTTTATCCCCTTGGTTCCTCCTTTATCCCCTTGGTTCCCCCTTTATCCTCCTGGTTCCTCCTTTATCCTCCTGGTTCCTCCTTTATCCTCCTGGTTCCTCCTTTATCCTCCTGGTTCCTCCTTTATCCTCCTGGTTCCCCCTTTATCCTCCTGGTTCCTCCTTTATCCTCCTGGTTCCCCCTTTATCCTCCTGGTTCCCCCTTTATCCTCCTGGTTCCTCCTTTATCCTCCTGGTTCCTCCTTTATCCTCCTGGTTCCTCCTTTATCCTCCTGGTTCCTCCTTTATCCTCCTTTATCCCCTTGGTTCCTCCTTTATCCTCCTGGTTCCTCCTTTATC